GCCTTCTGGTGGATTCTCCGGGTCCTTCCTTTAGGAGTGAGAACCTGGTTTGGTGGGGGCCTCCTCAGGTTGGTGGGGGCCTCTTTAGGTTGGTGGGGGCCTCCTAAGGTTGGTGGGGGCTCCTCAGGTTGGTGGGGGCTGATTTGACCTTTGATCTCTGGAGTGAGTCAAAACAAGCTGATAAATGTCGTCATGGCGACACCAATCATCCGATGAGTGACAGCTGACACACATCTCTGCATGATCAATGGCACACCTGATCTAATCATCTAATCAGGCCCCGAGGCCACCGGGGTGGGGGGGGGGGCGATCATACATTAGCATTAGCATTAGCATCTCCTAACCATTAAGTTATCAGAGTAAATCCCTGTTCAGCATGAGTTTGACAACTAAATAAGTCGATAAATAACTTTAAACTTTAACACATGCTCTCATAGGCCGGGATTGGAAAATTTGAAAAAAATTATTAAAGGTTCTGCTGTAGTTCCACAGCAATTCAGCTGAATTCATCCATTAAAACACAAAATAAGTAATAAAGCAAAAAGGCATTTATAATAAAAAAAACTAAAAGAACACTTTTAAACCATTGAAAACATGTCAGACAATTTAGGAATCTTAGTTTAGTTCACTGGGATCTGTGGGCTGGACCCAGCTTTAGTCCGTTTGGAGCCGTTATGGAGGCCTGAGGAGCAGCTTATGGAGCTCTGGGGTCAACTTTGCTTCTTCTTTGCCAGCTCGGTCTGGATCTGATGGGGGAACTGGTCCAAGTTCTTGTTCACGCACTGCATGCAGAACCTCTTGGTGTAGAAGAGACTGCAATCCTGAAAAAAGGAGGACGGAGCACATTTATTCCACCGGGCAAAGCCCCCCATTCATTGTTTTACATCGTGGGACTAATATTTTTATTTAAAAACATGGTTTTAGTTGTTTTTTAAAGTCTCTTTGGCATCATCTTGGATCGTCTCGACCAGGGATCTCAAATTCTGGTCCTCAAGAATCGTAATCTTGCAGTTTTTAGACCTTTTCCTGCTTCAACACACCTGATTTACATTTAATATCCCCAATTTAGTCAGTAACTGACATACTTTAGAAAAAATAGATGGGTAATAGGGGGTGGATGGACACCATTTCCTGCATTTAATGTACAAAATGTCACATGGCCTTGCCTAAATGATGTTTTTTCTAAAGTTTGAGAGGCCACACAGGTTGGAAACTGCTGGTATAATTTTGAACAAGGTCTATGTAGGATGTTACAGATTTCAGGTTCAAAGCAGCTTAAAATGCTAGGTTAAAAACAGATGTGCATCTTACCGATCCGACACAGACACACATGCTGCACAGGCTGCAGGTGGAGCCCAAAACCAAAAACTTCTCCTTGTCCGGACAGAAGGGGTCTTTGGTCACAAAGCACTCCTCAAGCAACCTGATGGGCGAAAGATAACCACTAATTTTGGGCTGATTTACCCATTTTAAAGCTGGATAATGTTAGAATACAATGATATTATCACTAAAAATGTTTTAGGTGCAATGCATAAATCAGTGGAGGGTTTATTTCCGCTGAGAGTTTGATTTTCCACCCAAACTTGGTTAGCCATTACGTGCTACGTTAGCATTAGCTTTAGCCAGTGAGCTAAAGCTAGCTGTAGCACAAAGTTGGCGTTTCCTTAATTTCCCACTTACACAATCGCTCTGGTGTTGGGCGGTTTCTGGCCGTAGTAAGTAAAAGGGGTACTCAAGCCACACAACTGGCACTCAAATGTTTTCTGAGGGGTTTCACTCGGAGTTTGTTCCATCGAAAGCTGTTAAAAAGTTAGTTCCTGGTTATCACCGTGGCTCCTGACACCGTTTTCTGATTCTTTAGCGCCCCCTACTGGACTGGGGTGTTCAAACACCCAACCGGGTACAAGCTTTTTATAAAGCTTATTTATGTTTATGAGAAAAAAACAAAAACAAAAAAACTCAGACAATGAGCCCATAAATATGTTATGACTACACATCTACATATCATGGGTACAAACATATTTAAAATGCCTAAATGGGACTCATGAAACAAATTCTCAGGCAAAAATAATTCTACCTAAAACCATTAAATAAAACCCATTAGATGAGTTCTGATCCACAAACACAGACTTCATCTCAAAGACAGACATACAACTGGATGTAGATGGAAAATAATAAGGATTTGTGAATAAATAAGTAGAATTTTCTCAGAATAATCCAAAACATCCTACTGACTCAAAACACATAAAGTAGTCTATAATTTGTTATTGTTTCACGTATTATACTGACTAAATGACAGTGGGGTCTACATGTATTTTACCGTGCCTAAAAATAAAAAATAAAAATAAAAATAAAAAATGTTAACCATGAAAAAAAGGCAACGACTTTTTTGCAGCAAATATAGTAAAATACCACATAAAATCCTTTCTTTATTTGAAACAGACATTGACTTTATTGCAGTTTTTTAACATAATAAAAATAGAAATCACTTTATCATTATATGAAATATTTATTAAAGGTAAAATGGACTGATTAGTACAGAAAATAAGACACTTTTTAGCCCAGCTTCACTGTCTAAAACTCCCTTTCATTCAGGTCGCCATAAATATAAATGACTACATAAACCATTTGAACAGATTATTGCATTTTCAGTGTTAATGTCCCACTCTGGCATTTAGAGGAGAAAACACAGAATTGTAGTATTTAAAAAAAGACATGTCGAGCTTTAAAAAAAATTCTGACAGTGAGCTATCATGTTGTTTTCATCCGAACGTGACAGGATTAATATAAATAAATGACAGTAAATCAGATGGATTTCGCTCTATAACAAAACACATGCTACATTTGTTGATACATGTACAACTTGTAGTAACTTAAAAGAAGTGAGAGGATTCTGAGCACAAGTTTAAGGCACTTTTTGCCAGATCGAGTGCGGAGAAAGACCTAAAAGACGGGATTTAATGTCAGTACATGTCTCTGTAGATTTCCTGGAGGAGCGGGTGCAGGGACGTGTCCTCCTTCGTCTTGATTTCCTGGACCAACTGAGCGTGCTCGGTGACCAGCTCGCGGAGGTCGGCCAGCTTCTGCAGCAGGCGCGGGAACAGGAAGGCGTTGTCGGGGTGGTTGGCCACTAGGTGGAGCTGCAGCGCCTGGACGATGCTCTCCTGGAGCTGCTCCACCGGGGGGGCGTCCACCAGCCCGGGCCGGTCTGGGGGGGGGGGCAAACAGAGCAACCGTTAGCCTCAAAGAGGTCCTCACTTCTGAACAGGTCTGCAGGAAGCCAAGGATGGATATCCAACTCCGCCCACATCCAAGTCGGCTATTTTGATTAGGTCACTAACAGGAAGATCCCAGGCAAGAAAATCCTAATTGCCTCATGGCAATATGGAGATTAATTTAAAAATAGTGAAATTAATCTGGCAAACACTGAATTAAACTCTATACATAATATTATGTTAAAATAGTGGATGTGAAATAGGTTTGGACAATAAGTCCAAAGTAGTTTAACCAAAAAATATTTATTTCTCACAATTATGAAGGGTGGAGGGTTAGGTTTAGGGTTAGGATCAGGGTTAGGGTTAGCATTAGGATTAGGGTTAGGGTGGAGGGTTAGGGTTAGGATTAGGGTTAATTTGAAAATAGTTCAATTAATCTTGCAAACACTAAATTAAACTCTATCCATAATATTATGTTAAAATAGTGGATGTTAAATAGGTTTGTACAATAAGTCCAAACAAGTTTAACCAAAAAATATTTATTTCTCTCAATTATGAAGGGTGGAGGGTTAGGGTTAGGGTTAGGGTCAGGGTGGAGGGTTAAGGTGGAGGGTTAAGGTGGAGGGTTAGGTTTAGGGTTAATTTAAAAATAGTTAAATGAATCTTGCAAACACTGAATTAAACTCTATCCATAATATGTTAAACTAGTGGATGTTAAATAGGTTTGAACAATAAGTCCAAACAAGTTTAACCAAAAATCATTTATTTCTCACAATTATGAGGGCTGGAGGGTTAGGGTTAAGGTTATGGTCAGGGTCAGGGTTAAGGTTAGGTTTAGGTTTAATGTTAGGTTTAAGGTTAAGGTTTGGTTTAGGGTTAGGGTTAGGGTCAGGGTTAGGATTAGGGTCAGAGTTAGGTTTAGGGTCATGGTTATGATTAGGGTCAGGGTTAGGGTTAGGGTTAGGTTTAGAGTTATGGTTAGGACATCGTTTTTCTTCCGATTTCGTTTAGACAGTAAAGTTTCGTTTCCACCTCAGAAAGCTGCTAGTCACATGACCTAATCAAAATAGCCGACTTGAATGCGGGAGGAGTTGGATATCCAACCGAGGCTCCTACAGGCTGCAGCCAGAGGCCGCTCCCATTCGCTGGGTTAGGGTTAGGGTTAGGGTTAGGGTTAGGATTAGGTTTAGGGGTCACCTCCACAGCAGATGATGGCGGCCACAAACAGCGCCAGGTCGCTGTCGTCCAGGTCCAGCGCGTTGAAGCGCGTGGCGAACTGGAACTTGGGCTCCATCATGTCTCCGTACGGGCGCCGCAGGCTCTTCAGGAACTCCCGGGTGATGAAGCCCCCCCCGCGGGCCACCAGCAGCCCGTCCTTGTTCATGCAGGAGGCCAGCAGCGTGAAGAGCGCCTCGTACACGGCGTATTTCAGAAGGGTCACCTACGGGGACACCAGAGGGTCAGTCCCAGACCAGGCCACCGGGGGGCAGCAGAGTCTCCGGCCCACCCGGGCTTACAGTGGGGGAAATAAGTATTTGACTATTGCTGAATTTGCAGGTGTGCCCACTTACAAAGAATGCTTATTTTTCCTCATCAGATGGTTATCAATTTTTATAAATTCATGTGATGTGATTTACTGGAATTTTCTTTGGGATTCTGTCTCTCACTGTTAGAATGTACATATGATTAAAGTTATAGATCGTTGCATTCTTTGTAAGTGGGCAAACCTGCAAAATCAGCAAGGGCTCAAATACTTATTTCCCCCACTGTACACACATACATATCTACCCATGTACACACATACATGCTTACATACGTAAGTACTTATGTACCCAAGTTTATACATACATACATACATACATACATACATACATACATACATACATA